ATACATGTAGGCTTGATCTGCAAGGGGGAAAGAAAGCATTTTGAAAGACATGATGACAAAAATCATGAAACTAACAGTAGAAAATAAATATAAATATTCTGGTAAATAATATAATGAAGTGAATGAAAGGCAGAAAAGGAGAAAATTAATGGCAATTAAAGAAGCGTCTAAAAAAGTGTTATGGTTTTTATACTTTCACTTTAGACTTGCTTTCAATTGTACCGAAACCTCAGTCATCAAGTGACACCATCAATCTGACATTATTATCTCCAAGAAATGACTGTATCCCATACCCTTAAGTTTGAATCAAAAAGTTGACAAAATTCTATTTCCTTTTGACAGCTATGGAATTTCTGATGAGTTCCATCATGAGCTGTCCATGGTACATCCTTAACTACTTCGATTCTACGTTATAAAGGAAAGATGAACCAACATCTCTCCTGATGTAGTTAGTTATTGACTGCCTAAACGATACTTTGGCTGCTACAGGCCCTTAAAGGATTGCATCATAGATAGTTATCATTCAAGGTAAATTCTAATAATTATTTCACTAACTAAAATTACATTAATATCATATAAAGGAGTCCCTACAGTTCCCAATCCTAGTTAAAATAAGTGGTGATGGAGCACAATTTCGTTGATCATCATATATTACTAACCTTTTCTTCTCCAGAATTAGATGATACATGCTTGTCTCCAGCAGGTAAAAAATGTGACCATAACTGACAAAAGAGCCCTTATGGCGGATTTTAAAATTGATTGTTATAATGGAAAATATCAACCTGTGAGTGCTTTGTTAGACAATCATTGTTTCTAAAAGTTTCATGGTAACTTTTTGCATCCTGTGGAGTAATTTTATGATAAATGGGGCTCAGGAAGTTGGATTTTTTAGGCTAGAAAGACAAATTTCACTACCCGCCATAAGGTACCTTTTGTCAATTATGGTCACAAATAATCTACCATATAATGCATGCTCTAAATATGACAATCATAAAATTACCTTTCTTTAACAGGCAATCACACCTTCGCAATTATCTCTGGTAATGAAAGTTACAGTGTTATGAAAGAAGGATTAGCACCAGTGCTTTCGAAATAAACCACCTATTAGAGCACAACTCAATAAATGTTGCTGGAGAAGTTATCAACTTAGATTTTGTTCTTGGAGCAGATTATAAGGTATATATACATCAGTAAATGCATATGTCATATTTATCACATAATAATAGTTGTTATTGTTTATTATGGGTTATCATGCTACCACTCCTAATAATGCTTACATATATTGTATACCATTCAAAAGGACAAATGGGAACAAAATCATTGTTTCAATTTTATATGTTAAATAAAATAATGAAGGCATAATAGAAGACTAAAACCTCAAGAAAGAACACTCACTTCAATACTTTCCTGTGTATAGAAGAAGATAAAGCATGAACCATTAATAAGAATTGAGCCAAATAAGGTAATAGAAAGACATTTTGCTATTAAGATCATAACTGATAATTCATTTTATGATCATAATTGATGAACTGCATTTCTTGCTCTGAGATTCATATATCCTTATTCGTAACTTGGTATATGCTGGTGTTTCTGCTGATGCAATTGCCATAAAGGACTTCACAACACATATAGACTACCTAGTGGAGAAAATTAGAAACATTGGTATCACTTTTCGGGTATAATAGTATATGGAAGTTAAGCTACAGCATCATTACTTTAAAATAGATTTGGAAATCAAGAGATTCTAATGGAGAACTACTATGGACTTCCTTGATAGGACCAGACAGGAAAAAGCTTTTACTAAGGTTGCCACTAATTATCCCTTACATTATACCAGGTGTCTCTGGTCTAAAGGTAAAGACACTTCGGATGGTAGTTGTATCAGTCACCATTATTTTGATTCCTTACTGCTTAAGCTACAGCATCATTACTTTAAAATAGATTTGGAAATCAAGAGATTACTATGTTTATTGTTTATGAAGTATTAGAGTGTGGCTTTACAATTTTAATACACAAAGTTTCAGCATAACTTTGAACTTCATTCTTCATGCCAGCTGAGTCATAAGAATGTGGAGTGAAAACTTAACATAGTTGTTCATGTACATAACAAAAGTAACAAAACAACCTTCACGTAGTTTATTATAGAAACAAAAATGATTATCAGTGAAATAGTTAGGACAAAAGTCAGTTCTATTGTACAATTTTCCAGCTTTCCTCTGAACAGGAGTACCCTTGTCTTTAAACTGAAATTTAAATACATGCCTTGGAAAATCAAGAGTTATAGCTCTCTTCGAAACAATTCCTGCCATTAAACTGGATTGTATTGCAATGGAAAATGAACTAACAGCATCTAAAATAACTCTGGTTTGTGGTTGGGGATCATGAAAGAGCCTATAATGTGTACATAAATTTAATGAAGAATATACAGTTAGGCCACGCCATACTCACCTGATGGCTTCTTAAGAAATATCACATGATGGAATCAGGCAAGCTTCCTCTTTGGAGTAGTCCTTCCTCAAGACCAAGTAATAGTCTATACCCTAAAATATCATCAACACATCAGCTCAGGTGGCCAGACACTGATGGCCTGCCAGGCTGTATGGGCCAGTGACTAACCATAGTCCTCTTTTTCTCAACCAGTCCTTCAACTTCATGCACTTTATCACAACAGCTACTTAGCTACTCTTCTATCAAGTCCCTCTCACCGCTTAGTAATCTAAAAAACCCTTCCTCTTTACTATTCCTCATTCGTGTTCTTATATCAGCCATTGTTGTAGTTACCATGACAACGTTAATTACACGTAATGAATATCATTAAATCAAATGACCGCAAATTGAATTACATTTCTGGGCATGTTTTAGTGTTCGTAACAATTTTGAAATAACAATCCTTTCTCCTTTCAGTAAATTTTAACCGTTGTTTGTTACTTTTTAAAGAAAAAGTTCTGAACTGTTTTGATATAATTTCTTCTGAAATTGGCTCAAATGACCGTCAGAAGGAAGAGGGTACGTACACGTACTTCACACATCTTTTGAACTAATGTGAAGGTGAACTACAATGAGTTTGAATTTGGTTCATTGCTTTCATTTAAAAGACAATGTAGATCAAGGTCAGCTCACACCAGAAGTAGTCATTTGCTTTAGTGGATCTGATGTCATGCCTCCACTTAGATTTTCACCATTCCCCTCTATTTTAATTCAATGAAGACGATACATATCCTTCATCATCTACATGTACCATTAATTTAATCCTACCAACAAAACAAAATGACTGTGATACACTTAAACAGTGTGTCACTTTCGCATTTCAGGAACATGGTGGGTTCAGGCCAGTGTGACTGTGCATCTTTTCCTAACCTTCCTGCAAAATTATGGTTTAATGCTTCACCTATTCGATGTCACACCTATTTATCACTACTATTATATTTTACGCACACTTATGTTTCATTTATAGTATTGACTGATCACTGTCATTGTGGTGGTTTCGTTTTATTCACCAATTGAAGGTTCATTGTTTTCCATTTATATTAAAACGCTATGTTGAGAGATGCATCTGGTTTTGGGTGAGAAAGTAATGTAGCTTGTGCTACAGACTCATTGATGGTGTAAAATGAGGAGACAGCAGTCATTCCACTTGAGTTCCTTATCACTCTTATGTGCCTTACCTAAAAGATAGTTAAGGACAGAGAGAGGATGTAAGCACAATTAAGAATGAAATGATGGTAAAAATTGACTAGACCAGGGAACTCACGCAACTTTCGTTCGCTAGTTGGCTGTAGAAAATCCCTTACAGTCTTAACTTTGTCAGGGGGAGGACAAATACCACCACGATTAACTAAATGTCCTAGAAATACAAAATCCTGCTTGCGAAACTCACATTTAGTAGGATTGACAATGACACCATGTTTGTGGAATCGTTGTAGTACCTGTTTTATGTGTTGTTTGTGTTCCTCCTTATTGGTACTGGCAATGAGTACGTTGTCAATGTATGCATAGACATTTGGAATACCTCATAACACTTCAATGAGGCGTTGGAATGATTGAGCAGCATTATGGAGGCCAAAGGCCATATGAACAAACTGAAAGAGTCCAAAGGGAGTTGTGATGGTTGTTTTTCGTATATTTGATGGCTCAACTGGAACTTGATGATATGCACATACTAAATCTTTTTTAGAAAAGAAATTAGTACCATGCAAGGAGGCAGTGCAATCCTGAATGTAGGGGATGGGGTAGTCATTGTGAATAGTGATTTCATTTAGTGAGCGATAGTCCCCACATGGTCTCCAATTACCGGACTTCTTTGGAACCATGTGAAATGGATAAGCCCAGCTACCAGATGAGGGACAAATGATTCTCAGAAGTATCATATGCTCAAATTCCCTCTTGGCAATATTGAGCTTAGCTAGTGGAAGCCTTCTGGTTGGTGTGTGAACAGGAGGCCCGGTCGTTTGTATATGATGGGTGACAGTGTGTTTGATGGGTTGCTATGGGCTGGTTCGGAGGACAGAAGGAAGGTCTTTGATGATGATTTCAAAGTCATTTTGTGGTTGAGAAGGTAGAAGGGTGAGGCAAAGGGCAGGTGGAGAGGAGAACTGGCAGTTGACTCTAGCTTTGTGGTTGAGTCAGTGAGCAGGTGTCTGCACATGTTCACCATTAGGCCGTAATGGTGGAAAAAATCTGCCCCTAAGATGGTAAAATTAACATCTGCCTCGATGAAGATCCAAGAGAAGGACCATCTTGGACCAAGATTGAGGGTAAGAGAACGGTTTCCAAATGTAGGAGTAACAGTCTTGTTAGCGGCGTTAAGTGTCAATTGTTGTTTGTTTTTGTGATAAGTGTGTGAAGGGATGAGAACGCTGACCTCTGCTCCTGTATCAACCAGAAATTTGTTGAGAGGTGGAAGATGAGGAAAAGGCAACTGTTATAGAGGCCAGCAACATTTGTCGCCACTAATGGCTGGCAGGGTCGTTTCCTGTCAAAAAAAAGCATGGATGTTTACACTACTTAGCGTCTTTGCTGAAATACTGATGATACCAGCAGAAGGAGCACTGAGGATTAGCATTTTTCTGTGGTTGTCGAGGAGGTGACCTACTACAAGAGAAACTTTTCTTCTGAGGGCGGAGAGATAACTTTAGTTGAGTTAGCTCTTGCTTGAGTTGAGCTAGTTCAGTAGCTAGTTTACTGTTGACAGTGTTTATTACTGGAGGAGATGAGTTTGGTTGTTCTAAAACCTCCATGACTTTGTCAGTTAAGACGGCAAGGTCCTGAATGGTAGCAGTAGCTGGTGTAAAAGCTAATACCATACGGACATTGCTCAGGAGGCATTGAAGAAACAGCTCTTTTAGAAATGGTTGAGTGTTGGCTGCTGCTTGATCTCCTAACAACTGCTCCATTTGACGTAGGAGCTGTGATGGCTTCCCATCCCCCAGTTCCTCACCAGTCACCAGTTGCTGTAAATGATGCCGTTCGGAAGCAGCTGTTCTTTCGATTAGAGCAGCTTTGAGTGTGTCGTACTGATCTACATGCTGAGTTTTCAGGATTATGTCTGGAACTTTGGTAGCAATGTCTGGAGAGAGAGAACCGACAACATAGTCATACATGGTTATTTGGGAGGTGACATTGTGGGTTTTGAACTGTGATTCCACATGGGCAAACCATATCTGAGGGTCTGCTGGCCAGTATGGGGGCAGTTTCAGTGAGACTCCAGCTACAGTGGGAGATGTTGCTGCAGGGGTAGCAGCAGAAAATCATCAGCAGATTCTGAGGTGTTCATATTGTTTGTCTGGGTCACTAATGTTGAGTTGTGATAATCAGAAACTAATTTACAAAACTCAACTGTAATTGTATGTGTTAACAAACTTATTAATAACAGATGAGACATAGAGTGGAAGAGACACTGAATATTAATAATGATGAAAATGATAAGCACGATGTGTATGTGAGCAAGATATATGTGTGTTTATTGACTGATCGATTGAGATAGTTGAGAGAATTGAATGAAAATCTGATAGCAGATCAAAAAGAGGTTGAGCGTTGAGATTTTGAAGACGATAAGTGTTTGAGAATTTAGACTGCAGACTAACAGACTAGGACTAAGACTAACTGAATTACAATTGGGTTCTTTCTTAAAAGGTAGTGCATTTGGCTAATAAACTAAAGTTAAGTTATTATTTATAAATTATTATTAAAATAAATTAACACTACACATCCAATAGATGACACAAGGGCTAGTATTCATTATTGTAGAATCAAATCAAAAACAACTGTAAGTCCTCTTGAACCTGTTAATCGTCAACTTGTTCGAAGTAACACTGTAACATCCCTATTGTAGGCAAAGTGAGGATATTAAGTCCTAGACAATCAATCATAAGCTGGCGCTGGCGCATTGCCACATCACCTTATTTTACGTAAATCATTGATTCGGATTTTTATCCGCTATCCTGGCCCATCACTGAGAAGAGCCGTGCATCAACTAAACTATAAAATTAAATGGCTCTCAACAGACCAAACCTATTTAGCTTGTTCTTAGATAGTAAGGATTGCAGTACTCAATGCTTATTTAAGATCTTACAGCATTTGGAGTAGTTTCTCTGAAGGATCATAATAACTGCCATTGTAAAAGGAGTGTGACTTAAGGCAAACATGGATGGTAGGCACTAATTGTGCTAATTGCCAAAAGTCCCCCATCCCCCTAACAGTTGTATAATTGTCCATGCTAAATGGTGTCAAGTGAGAGGTCATAGTTCCAAATTAGGCAACTGCAATAAATTCATAGTTTCCCATTCAAGAGGCATAAGTGTATGAGTGAAATTTGCATCAAGGGGCCAATCCTATGAATTATCATGCACTCACAATAAAAAGGAATGTGTTGTTAAATTACCAATAATTATTCTAAGTCATAGCTTTCCAAAAAAATGTCTTATTTCATTTCACTGAGAAAGGTTTTCATAGTTTCATGTTCATCAATTTTCTCTATTATCCTTGTGTATATACAGAATCATGCAGTGGTTGAGCCTTTCTTGAGTCATTGTGCTTTGTAAATATGTTTGTGGACGTATTAGAGCAGAAAAGGAATGTTCGGCCATGTAAATAGTTACTGAAACAATAAAGGTTTTAATGTCATATTTATAACACAGCAGTGAGTGCCAAATGGTGTATATAGGCACTTAGCCCGATAAAAGGTGCATATATACACCATAAAGCACAAACCGCTGTGTTGCAAGTTATATATGGTAGGGTGGAGCCACACACAGTGTGGTCGGTCAGTTTACACAAGCACAAAGCCACAGTTCATGTATGAGGCCTATATAAGCACAGTCGTCACTTTGCAGTGCTGTATAGAATATATAAGCTCTGCTAAACCTTTCAAGTCTTAATTCATCATTGGAGCAAGCCTGAGCGACCCCCACAGAAACAAATCGATGTATGTGTGTATGTATCTATGTATGTTTCTCTGTTGTACATGTGTGTCACCCCTATTTATTCATATCAAAATTTTTCCACTTTTTGATAAAGTTGACAATCTTTCATTCAAAATGGGTGTGGTCACAGTGAAAGAAAATGGTCGCTCATTATCATAACTGGAAATTCTTGCAAGACTGTTTCGGCTGTAGTGTACTGCTGTGTAAATGCAGCAAAGGTTAAGAAAGCAGACATGCCATATTCTTCATTGATGTAAATGACTCTAATGAAGTGAATGTGAGTCACTGCCTGAGCCTAAGTTAAACTAACTGCATGAACTTGGAGCATGAAGGAAGGCAATAACTACATTGCTACGGATGCCTATCTAGCTTTATAATTTGTGCATGACTGCTTATAGCTAACTTTAATGCTTTCTAAATGTTACTAGCAAGGTAGCTTTAATTGTTGTAGTGAATTAAAGGTAGATTTTCATCAAAAACTACATCCATAATAAATTTTGAGCCTGTTTTGTTGCACCACTCTAATATCCATTGCATAATTGTGCTTGAGTATGGTATGTTACTCTGTCAATATTTATTGTACGTACATTGCTTTGCTTGTGTAGGCTTGCCCCTTTAATGTTTTATAATCGTCTAGTACTATACAATTCAGGGAGTAATTCATTGCCTACAGACACTTCATTCAGTATTATCACAAAATGGTTCTAACATTAGTCACTTTGATGATATGAGAAAGCCCTAAGTTATTGGTCTTTCTGGTTTCAATAAAATCTGGTAACATCAGAAGTTGAACTTTTAATAGGGAGAAGTCTAAAGTACTTGAGTATAAGTCTAAATCATTGGGAATATTAGTAAAATTCCATTAACTGCATCCAAAAGCATTTTCTCCATTATGGCAATCAAGGTTTTAGCACAAAAATTAATGTTGCATCCACGAATAATTTTTTGGTGGTTGTAGTTTAGCAATGAATATCTCTCAAGATCTTGTCCTGTGAGACTTGAAACTTGCTTGCAGCCTTTATGGGATGTTCATTCTTCAATGCAAGGATTTTGTGAATGAAGCAGTATAAAGCAATACAGTGTCAATTGTAATAATACTAACCATTTTTTTAACTACAGAGGCTTCGTGAAGAAAATGATAGATATGTATCATGTTAAGCTGGGTTTAGTATGCAGGACAAAGAAGAATAAAAAGGCTGAAGTCAGTGGAGAAGATGCTTTGAGTAGAAACACTGCTGAGACTTGTCGAGGTGCCATGATTGCTGGCCATGGCCACAAATAATAGAATATTTAAAACGGTTTGGAAATACCCACGCTTTCCTGTTTCACTCCATTCCCATCATGAGCTTGGTGGGCAATAGTAAAATATCGACTGGTGCAGTATAGTTTCTAGCAGCATAGATAGCTCTATCACAGATACTGTTGTGTACTATGATATGCTTTTGGTAGCTATTAAAACGGCTATTGCCACAAGAGTTTCCTCTTCTAATGTTGCAGAACAGTTTGTCCAAAGTGCAAATATTTTTCTGCAACAGATAAATAGAACACAACTAATGACTGTTTGCTACCAGTCTGGCTTTAAACCTTCTCTTTGCACTCAGTTCTTTAGCTGATGCAGATATAGACTGGACAACTGGAAGAGTAAAGATGTGGAGGACATACCACACTTAAAAAGTTACTGCAAGTTTTTGAGCCTGTCAACATTTTCAATGAACTCAAAATGCCTTTTTTGTACTAGTTCATTACTGATGACATGTTCTAAAGTGTTTTGCAAAAGCTACATGGTCCTTCCACTCAGCCATCAATGACTTCCATCTCAACAGCAGCAATTAGTATTTCCTTCATGGAGTCTAATGCTTTTAGATATGTAGGAGGCTATGTCTGTCTGAAAGCTTTGATAGCTTTTGCTGGTACTGAAAACCTTGAAAGTGCAAAGAAATTGATTTTATCAACAGAAGAAAATGACACCCACGCATCTTCACAGTGGATCAATTCAGTTAATAGGGACGGACTAGTAGAAATAACAGAGGATGCATTTCAATTCTTTATCGAAATGGAGGCTGTAATCAAGGAGGCCTTCATCGGCCAGCATCAGAAGATCAACAAATATTACTAAAACTATTCAATTTCAATTTCCTAATGCTATTTGAGGCACGTATCAATATGCCTACTTTGTGGGATCTGTTTTTCAAAACTGATTCTAACAATATACTTGATGCAGCATTACATTTACTGTCATATGATGTGTTCTCAAAATCTACACCTTTCATACTTGATGGTAATAAATCATCAACTATTTCAGGGCTGTAATATAATGCTTCAATAATTTTAGTAAAATAATATTCCTTTGCTTCACTATTTGGTGCAGATAGTGAGTAATTAGAACGCAATCTATATAATATTTGACCATAATTACGATCATAATAATCTTTATTTAGCCGCCTCTTATTTTCCTTATTTAGTGCCATTTTTAATTTATCCATTTCGTTATCAAAAAATTTATATCTCAGAAATTTATCTTTCGTAGCACGTAATATTGCGTCTCTATTCTCGTAATACCGTTTTAAGCAGTTTTGTTTTTGAAGGCCAGGATTTTGTTGATAACATTTTTAGACATCATTTTTTTATTAAGTGGATTTTGGGAATACATTTTTTGCGAATGCTCTAATGATTTTATACTTTTTTTATCTTTGTTTTTGTTGTACCAATTTTTACATTTTTGCAATATATTATATAGGCGGTAGCCTATATGTAGGATTGAGGTTGATTTTTCAAGATGGCGGCCGTTTTTATGATTTTCAAACACTCATAACTCTTTTATTTTACGTTGTACAGCCTTATAAATGGCTTAGATGAGCTCTCCTTCACTGAGCGATTCTCCTGGTACCTTTAAAGTGAACTGTAATGTAGCGGGAGCATTTCTGGAGAATAGGCCCAAATTCAAATTTCTGGCAAAATTCTTCAGACTTTTTCTTCTTCTTTCATCTTCTTCTATCAACACGGAAATCTTTTAAACCAGGGAACCGCTCGAGTTGGCTTTTACATCATTCCTTTGAGCTTGGGCCAAGGACTGGACATGTGGCTTCAAAAAGAAGCAAGGACAGAGAACAATGGAAGACAAATTCCAGCTGTAGCACCGTGTGGGTTTGCTCTTTTGACGCCATTTTAATTTATGCGCA